CATGTAAACAAAGCCAAGCACTGGAAGGCATTAGAAAAATGTCAGCTCCTAAACACTTGGTTGACATACTTTAACCCTACCAGGACAGGTAATTCTAGGATGAAGTTGTAGTTTCTATTTTAGGATGAATTATTAGCTAGCAGCTGAGATGAAATACATGTCACAGTTGTCATCATGAATAACCACTCTATTGTATAAGTACTCAGACTTGTCTACAGATTCTGAAGCAAACCAAAATTCATTGTGAAGGCCATTAATTCCTGCTATTTGTCTAATTTGAAGGAATTATCTTAGAAGTAGTTATTTCTCACCATTTTATTAATCTTAATGTAATTACCTATGTTCTTACTAATTTTGAGCTATTGATTCCTACTCTCAAACTGAAGTTCTCTTCCTTTGGGGAAAAAACCCAACATCTTCAAGACTGCAGTGCAGGTGTTGGTATATCAAATAGCCAAAACTCAGTGAACACCACTAAAAACCAGCCCATTGGAGTAGATACTGATTAGCTCTTCCATCTGGTGCCCAACTCCAGCAGTTTGGCTTCCTAGGAGTGAGCTAGCTAAACTTAACACATGCTGCCTTATCATTCTGGTGACAATATGTAAACAAAGATCAAACCCCACTCCTTCCAGGAAAAGTGTTGTTCTCAGAAGAACTAGAGATCTTTGACCAGAACTACACTCTGCTCATTACAAAACCAGTCCAAAATACAATTCCACATAGTTTTTAAAAGTATATAAAATTTGTGTTTAGGCAGGAAAAAAAGTAACATCAAGGGCAAAGACATTTAGAAATTTCAGTATTTAACAGAAATTCTTTTGTGCATGTATTTTTCATGTAAGCTTTTCAGAAGTGCAATTCAATAGTGAAAAGAACAGAAACATCAGAAGCTAGTGGTATCTTTTGGACAAGCTCAGTATCAGTATCTTTTGGACAAAAACTAAAGAGAACACTGTATAAAAAAATAACAGGTACTTTCTGGTCAGATGTCACAGTAAAAAAGAAAGCAGAAACTGGGTCAAAGAGAAAGGAAGGGGAAGTGTACACACTGCCCTGAGTGAAACAAGGAAAACTACAGCAGTCACTGTAGTGACTTCAGCCTTACCACTGCACTAGTGTGAATGTCTGGGCTGACAGAAAATGTGTAAAAGGACTAATGCTTGAAGGTTTATTTGATCTTCAACTGATGGATGCACAGAGTTTATAATGGCCACTGCTTTCACATATAAAATTAAGGCTGCAGATGCTTGCAAGTCATGCATTAAATTTTGTCATCATAATTTGTTAAAGCAGCACAACATTAAAACAATGAGTAATGTGAGGTCATTACATTAAATAAAGTGGGTTCAAGAAAAATAAATTCTGTTCTGATCAGTTATGCAGCTCATGATTTTGGAGCAATGCCTACACCAAGTGACTCGGTTTCTTTCAAACCTTAGTTCCACCTCAAAAATATGAGAAGAAGCTACTTAAAATTATGTTAAGCTCCCAGTGTAAGAGATATAGTGGAATAACAGGCTGGTAGAAAGGGGGTCTCAAGAATGTGCAGCAGACACCAAAGTCTTAATTCACTCCCTGGTACCAACAGAGAGATGCAAATATATTTGTCTGACAGCAAATTGCAAAATTCAAAACAACCAAAATAATATTTTTCCTGCTCAAGGTACACAGCTCAAAAATCTCCCTTTGAATTGACTATTAAGATGAAACATCTAAAAGCCAAAATCAAATACAAACAAAAGCCCTTTGAACAGTGACTGGACACTTTACAGACAAAATATTTTGTCCAGGGAAAGATGAGTGAAGAGCACAAGATAAGAGAAAAAGAAGTCTAACTTGCTGCTTTGTTACTGTACACTACATTCTGTTGTTACTGAGAATGTAGCGCTCATGGACAGCCCTTTGGGATAAAAGTATATCAGAAATGCATAGCAAACGGAAAACACCTCGAGGACAAGCCATACATAAACTGTCATAGATTCAATAATATTAACCCCATGAAGCAACAGCATTTCTGTTTTGCCCTGAAGTAAGGTAACAGAACAAGGATTGCAGTCCTGTCCACCATTCTTACCAACTCACCCAACCCAATTTAAGGGTGCTCTCTCAGCACAGTAACACAGTAGTGCTTGCTCATCTGGATGCTGCAGAGAAATCTAGAAAGCGAAAAAATACCTAAAATACTGGTAGGGTTGACAGAAGAGGTGACAAAAACTAGAATTCAATTGTAATGAAAATCATGAATATGATTTCAAACACTTGGGCAACTTAGGCAGAAAAAAATGAAAGTTTTGGGTTATTCAATGTAGAATCATAGAATCATAGACTGGTTTGGGTTGGAAGAGACCTTAAAGACCATCTAGTTCATATCCCCCTGCCATGGGGAGGGAACCTTCCACTACACCAGGTTGTTTAAAGCCCCATCCAGCCTGGCCTTGAACACCACCATAACCATTCTGGGAAAAAGTCCTGGTATGAAAAGGTCTTAATAAAAAGCAGCTGATCCCTTATGTTTGCCTCAGCACAGTCCTGTCACAAAGGCAGTCAACTGAAGAGTGATACATTCACAAGTAAAAGGCAAATACTGCCATGTCTATCAGACTGTCAACCTTTGGAACTCCTTGTCAAGAGTTTAGAGGGATGGCACACTGAGGGTAAGATAGCAATGATTATCTAACAGCATAGTAATGTAGTGTTTAAATGCATCTCTCTAAAGTCTGTAGGCCTGTGGGCCCTGAGGCAGGGCAGGAGCATTATGTAAGTGATGTGCAGGAGAAAGGACAGGGGAGAAGGGCTTCACCAACCATTTTGATTTAAAGTAGTCCCACCCACGAAATCTAAGCCTAGGCTCTTCAAGTGTATTGAAGTGTCCAGCTCAGCTGAAAATTGTTCAGCTGCAACTGAATTCCTATGGGAGGCAGGCACCCAAAACCTTCAAGAATTGATATCTTAGTAACGAGTTCCATTGCTGATATTCAGGGTTCAGAGTCCACTTAGGGCTGCACAAGCTACATTTGCTCCACAGCAATAACAGCAATTCTCTAGGTTCTGAAAACAGCAGGCAGCATCAAAGTGGACTTATCTAATATTTGGGATTCACTAGTTTTCATTTTCAGCATAGCAAAGCCAAGCAGCCCACATACTTTCACTACAGACAGAATGAAACAACCACTTTAAGTCACATACAGCCCCCAAACTGGTGAAAAATTTCTATTTCTCAGTTCAGTCTTGAATTGGTGAGTTAAACTTTCTCGATCCAGTAAGAAACATTCTTAATATCCTCTTGCTTTTGTGAGTCCATGTCTCATTCCCAGTGTGTGGTGCTCAGTATTTGTCACAACTCTGTAAATGCAATTTAGTGCAGTATTTGTTATCAGGAGATCCATCACGTTGGTGGTAGCAGAATGAGGCAATTCCAAAAGGGACACCAGAGTCGAGCAAGGACAAATAGCATGTTGTTCGACTGCACTCACTTGCAAAATGATGGTATCAATCTGTTTCTGTATTTTGTTTTTCTTTTTTTATCAAAAGATTGTCTAGTCCCTACCATTTCTACTTTTCTCCTTTTCCACTTAGCTCATTCGTTTTTCCTATTTTTCTTTTTATGGGTCTCAAATAAATGCAGTTCTTTTTGTTAATTTTTGCACACATCAATAATGTAAACATTCCTCTACGAATAACTTCTATTAGATCTCTTGAATTGGTAGGCCTGAAACAGTAACTTCTCCACTCCTGCATCTCTCAGTCATCCGGTCTCACTCAAAATGTGGCACAGCTCACCATAACAAGCTTTCTTTAGTCAGGCAGGCACTAACTTCTGTTTCCCCTCCAAAGAAAGCACTGTCTATTGAAGGCATTCTCATGTGGTCAGAGTGTTTTCAAATAAGATATTTTGTCATTATTTAAAACATTTCTTTCCAAATGCCACTTTACCACTAAAAGAGCAAACTGCAATTAATTAATACATGCCTAACTTTTAAAATTGAATACTCCTGCAGATCCACAGGCACACATAAAGCCAAGGATGTGCTCCAGTGCAGTATCAAAGCATACATTAATGCACAAAGCATACATTAATGCACAAAGGCTGCCCCTCACATGAGGCAGCATTTGGCATGCAGGCTCTTCTTACAACCATTAGGGTTTAGCCTTCAAGCTCTTTTTGCAACTATTTCAACAATTTTCCTCCGACACTTTCCACCTTCACTTCCAGTAGTATTTCACCGCCAGCTTTTAGCATCTCTTCACATTCAAGTCTCGCAGGTGTGTTGGCTTACTGGGAGAGGTGCTGAAAGGCAGGGAATCACCATCAGGACCCCGCCTCAGCAAAAAGCAAACAAAAATAAGCGGTATGGACAGGCAGAGCCGAATGCGGCCTGCAGCAATGGCAGCTCACAAACAGGCCCAGCACAGCTCGGGGCACAAACACAGCCCCGGGAGCCCCCGGCCAGCGGGACAATAAACCGGAGGTGAAAAACGTCACTGGGAAAGTGACACCGTCCCGCAGAAGCACCGGAGACGGCGGCTATTGTCTGCTGGCCGCTACAATATGAAAATCCTGAGGAGCTTCCTGATTCACCTCCTTTATTGTTTGTGTCGCCGAAAGGCACGGGCCGAGTGAGGGCCGGGCCTGGGCTGCCCTCGGGCCCGGCAGTGCCCGGCGGTGACAGCGGAAGCGGAGCCGGGGCCGCCCGGGCAGCGGCCGCTCCGTCCTCCCCCGGCACCCCCGGCTCTGCAGGGCCGCGCTGGGGCGATTCGTTCCCTCCCCGCGCTCCCCGCGGAGCCTCCCCCTCGGCCTCCACCTCCCCGGCCCGCGGCAGGGCCGAGCTGGGTCCAGACCCGCGCCCCGCGGTGTCCCGGCCGGCGGGAGCCCCGGGTGGCGGCGGGGAAGGGGCTCCGGGCCCGTCCGAGCCCCTGCCCCGCGCTCGGCGCTAGGCCCAGCTCGCAGCCCCGGCGCGGCGTGGCCGGGCCCGCCGGCGGCCTTACCGCCTCCACGGCGTGCTGCAGGATGGAGGTGAACTTGGAGAACATCCTGTCCCGCGACTGCAGCAGCCGCTGCCGGGAGGACCGCGAGAGCTCCTCGATGCGCCGCCGCCGCCGCTCCAGGGTGAGGGCTGCATGCGGGGGCCTGGCCGCGGGGATCGAGCAGGCGGGCGCCGGCGCTGCCTTTCGCTCCCCGGCGGACACCGTGGCACTGACACCGCCGGGCGCGGCGGCGGCGGCTGCCGAGGCTCCGGGTGCCCTGCAGGGGCCGCCACCCCCCGCACGCCGCCCGGCCCTGCCCGCCCCGCTCCGCTCCGCCCGGAGCGCCGCGTTCCGCCCGGGCCGCCTGTCCCAGGTTGGGAGCGCGCACCGAGCCCCGGGAGCCCCGAGCCAGCCCCCGCCTCTGCGGGCAATTCCCGGGCAGGGAGGTGAATCACAGAATCGATTAGATTGGAAAAGACCTCTGAGATCATCGAGTCCAGCCTATGACCGAACACCACCAGGTCAACCAGACCATGGCACCACGTGCCACGTCCACTCTTTCCTTGAAACCTCCAGGGAAGGTGACTCCACTGCTTCCCTGGGCAGCCCATTCCAATATCTAATACTCCTTTCTGTGAAGAAGTTCTTCCTAATGTCCAACCTAAACCTCTCCTGACACAGCTTAAGACTATATTCTCTTGTCCTGTTGCTCATTGCTTGGGAGAAGAGAATGATACCCAACCCACCACAACCTCCTTTCAGGTAGTTGTCATCATGGCTAGGCTTTGCGAACGAAGATTTGGGAAGGCTCTATCCACATTTGCTACAGGCACGCTGGTGGCTTATGAGGCCAATACGTGACAGACATATCCGATTGCAAAAGGCACAACAGAAAGACTCCTTAGATGGTGTATTCTGCAATACACAGTTCTTTCTGCGTTGCCTTTTTTCCTCGAGAGTGATCCTGCGTGTGTTCTCGAAGGAGACAGCTGCGTTATAGATGGCGTGTCTCCAGGCCTCCCGATTTGAGGCCAGAGTAGACCAGTTGTGGTGATCAATATGGCCAAGGCTGAGATGTTGTTTCAGGGAGTCCTTGTGTCTTTTCTTCGGGGCTCCTCTCATGCGACAGCCAGTGGCAAGTTCACCATAGAGCAGGATCTTAGGGAGGCGGTGGTCCTTCATCCTTGAGACGTGCCCTGCCCATTGCAGTTGCGTTCTCAGTAACATGGCCTCAATACTTGTGATGTAGAGAGTGATAAAGTCACCCCTGAGCCTCCTTTTCTTCAGACTCAATACTCCCAGCTCCCTAAGCCGCTCCTCATAGGACTTGCGCTCGAGTCCCTTACTCAGCTCCATAGCTTTCTCTGGACGAACTCCAGTACCTCAATGGCCTTCCTGAATTGAGGGGCCCAGAGCTGGATACAGCACTTGAGGTGTGGCCTCCCCAGTGCCAAGTACAGAGAGATAAGCCTTTCCCTGGTCCTGCTGGCCACACTATTCCTGATCCCAGCCAGGATGCCATTGTCTTCTTGGCCGCCTGGGTACACACTGGCTCAGGTGAGGGGAAGGGGCACCCACCTCTGCTGTCCCTGTGCCCAGACGCTGCCATCAGGCTCCCACAAAGGTCTCTGGGGCTACATGTGCCCCTCAGAATCATGAGAGTGGGGAGACCGCCACCTCCACCCGCCTGCCAGCATGGTACAGATGTGGAACAGCCCTGGCATGGATGGCCAAAGGCCCAGATTGCCGTCTACTGGAACATTTTGGGTCTGCCACTGTCCACAAAGCAGCACAAGGGTGATAAGCTCAGAAAGTCAGTGACAAGCGGTAGAGTCACCACCAAATGAGTGGATGTGGCGCTTTGCCATATGATTTAGTGGTCATGGTGGTATGAGGTCAAACATTGGACCTGAGGATCTTGGAGGTCTTTTCGAACCTTAATGATTCAATCTTATTGCTGCTGGGTGAAAGGCAGGTTGAGTGGGTGGCATGGTCCTGTCTGACTGTGGTTAGCCTGGGGGTTGCAGAGAACCACATCTAAGAGGGCTTGTGGCAATGAGCACATTACCTATTTCACTGGGGGTTTTTTGTTTATTTTCTTTGTTTGTTTATTTGTTTTCCAGAGAGAAAGAGACAAAGATGGGTTTATTTCACCTCCAAACCAAATACTTAAAAGAAAAAGATCATCCCTGCCATTTTCCAGTGCCATGCAAAAAGCAGAGGTAAGGTGGGGTGAGCAGAGGTTATGGATGTAGCTAGCAAGTGGTGTGATGTTTTGGGAACAGTTGCAATTCATGGGATAATATTTGGGCACTAGGAGAACAAGATTGCTTTGGCACGGCAAAGAGTGAAATGTTGGAAAGGTGAAAGACTAGTAGGGGAAAAGGAAGAGAACCTGTAGTACCAAATGAAGAAAAGCTGCCTCATTAATTTTTTGAGATGAATGAACACCAACTTCCTCATATGCTAAGAGAAAGCAGAGAGAGATGAATCCAAAGACATGACAAAACTACTATTTAACGTCTGTTTTTTAAATTGTGTCACCTAGGAAGTCAGACTATGACTGTGGACCCTCTGATAAAGTCTTACCATGATTCTGCTGTACTGGTTGCTGTTACTACCTCTGTGCTTTGCAGGCACAGAGAGCTACAGTCCAGGTACTCTATGGAAGTAAATAGTAGTTGTATGTGGACACCTCTGCTGCAGGGCTAGCTATTTCCTTCTCAAAATCCATATATATAAAATAAGAATTTAAAAGGTGTTACTTCTTGGGTTTTTAAAATCTGCTTACTCATGGTTTGTCAAGTTCTATTCTATAGATGTTCGTACAGAAATGTAAATTTTCTGTATGGATAGTCACATGGTGAAACACATGTACCATCTCTGTGTTTAGGTAATTATTAACTGGATAGATGCTGCATTTGGAAGGTGCCTATCTTCTATCATTTAACATTAAAAGTTCTGTTAGACTTTTTAAGTGTGCTCTAGGAGACAAACCTGTCTTCAGATGAATTTAAGTGTCATCGACTATAGTTTTGCAATACATCCAGATTATTATTAATGTTTATGTATATTTTAATATGTGATACTTAGCTATTTATTTTATTTATATTATTATTTTTATATAAGTATAGTTCAAGTGTTACTTTCAGCCTGCTTGTATGGTTTTTATTTGAAATTCTTATTGCTTTCATTAGAAAGTTAAAGATGAGTTGTGGTTTTTATTGCAAATTTTGTCAGCACAACCACAGTAGTGGTACAACTTTCCTCCCATCACTGTGATGCCATTTACCATGTTAATGAGCACCTTCCCCTTTTCTCACCGTAGATACCGTTTTGGAGCCTGCATCATTTCAGAAGAAAATGTGGATATAAGGCACACGTACTTGATTAGGGTGTCTAAGAGAACATGGTAATTTAAGATGCTCTTTGCAATCTGTTTGTTTCTGAAACAATGTCTTTTGAATGTGCCTGGGCCTTCCCATTTCTGAGCAGCAGAATGAATAAAGAAACAGTAAGATATCATGAAGATATAAAAAGAGACAGTTTTATAACTCTGAGAGTATTCCTAAGCGTGCTTAACAATTTATGAAATCATAAGTCACAGAATTACAGATGGTGAGGTAAAGCTTTTCTAAGAGTGCCTTATGTATATAAATTCATTATTATTTAAACAGAACATTTCATAGCTGTTGAAATTAAGATTTTGATTGTAAAAGTGACTTCTTATTAGGACTTCTCAATGTGAAATGCCTTCCAGTAGAGGAAACAAAGAAAATACCACAGTTAAATGATTATTCCTAAGCTTATTAAACAAATTGAGTCTCTGCACATAAGCCTGCATTTATTTACCATTAGATTGAGCTTGAATGTGTAGCCATACATGCAGAATCCAGCCTGTAGTGTTTATATCTATTGCAAATTATAGATATACTTTTTGAATGTTTTTTTAAAGTAGTCTCTTAGTTTCTCAAGTATATGTATGTATTTCTCACTGATGGGAATATTGGATAAATATTCACAGACCAGTAATAATGCAAATCACTGGAAACTTTATTTCACCAGTGTCAGTGCAGAAGAACTTAGCTAAGGTTACATTTTGTTTGGATACTTCTTGTTCTCACTGGAGATGATTTAATTGGAGATGATGCAGTTATGGACGAGCTACCAGTGTCATATCACATGCAACAATACATCTTCACCTGCTCGTGCTTTATAATGTTTCCACCGAAATAAACACAAGTATTACTACCTATTTTAGTAACCTTGAGAGCAGAGTTCTGATGGTTTGAGGGTGTTGAGGTTTTTTTTGGCAAGGTAGTTCTTTTTTGGGTAGTTCTTTTTTGCAGTGAGTTAGTGTTTTGCTTGAATGTGAGAAGACAGTGTGAAAGTGAGGCTATTCTAATTGATAGAGCTTTTGGGAACTTTTCTCTTTCTTACAAATTAATGAAATTGTCTAGATTAAATCAGTTTAGATGGAGTGAGAGAGTGAGATAATTGGCTAGCCTTTCTATCGGAAAATTTCTCTGCTATTTGGATTGATGGCATCAAGCCAGTGTCTAATGGATGCATTTGTCTACATTACAGAAGAACTTCCTGCAGTCTGGACTTTCACTTCAGAGAAGCTGAACATTTGGAAGGTGCATTTTTGTATCCTAGGATGAAAACTTGCAAGTAGAGCTGTGCCCAGTATCTGTTGATATTCTGGATTTTATTGTGTTTATAATAATCAGATTGACATCTATGTTTTCAGTGACTACTTGGATGAAATAAAGAATGAAGTTTTAGTGGCTCAGCATGATCTCTGCTTTTGAAGAGGGCTAAAGGGATTTGTTAACTTCATCTTCATACCTGTCTGATTCTGGACTTTATTACAGAAAGCAAGCATGTTGTGCATTACATACTGAAGAGCAAGCAGTGGAACTCAGGTCATTTTCTGCCATGAATTTCTGGTCTGTGCTCTCATCTGTGTGCATCAGCTCCCTCCTTGCTGCTTTGCTGGCAGCACCATGTAATCAGCTCATGCAGTATTTCATAAATCCCATTTTCAGGCATTTCCTGGCCTGTGTATCCTGCTCCACATCTGCACATCTGCTCCTTCTGTGCAGATATTCATTTGTCTTCTGATAGGTTACAAACTTCTTAGTGATTAATCTTTTGTCTTATTGCTTACCTGTCACATCTGCAAGTGTCTTCTGACACCAACATTCACCGATACTGTGGAAGACTCAACATTGGGCAAATATTGCCTGCCCAGTAGCTATTGCTTATGTTTGTGCTTCAGTTACACTGTCTGTACCCTGATTTATCTTATATAATGGCTTGTAAAGGAGACTACGAGGAGGTCAGAAGTACATGTTATCAGTGAAATGAGACATTTATTTTCCAAACACATGATGTTTTCCTGAAATGTTTCTATTCCACTGGAAGCATTATAATCCAGGTTTTCCTCCATAAGTAAATATATGAATGTTCTGCAACAGGGTGTCTGCAAATGCTAGCATATAATAAAGTACTGAAATCAAATAAAATACACTTGAATGTGACCAGTTAGAACTTAGCTAATTTCACTGAAGTCTGCAGGTTAGCAGGAGCACAAGTTTACTTGTTCTTGTGGTAGTGGAAGCTGAAGCAAAGAGATTAAAGATAGACTACTGAGTTTATGCTGTATTGCAACACTAATGACTGCAAAAGTCTATATTATAAATAGACATAAAACTGGATGTTGCCCTGAAATACTGGAAACAAAATAATTGACTGTTTGTCTGCTATAAATTGGTTCCCTCAATATTTCATCTGAGCGTTTGCAGAGAGAGAAGTCTGGCAACCAGAATCTGTTTGTGTTTCTGGGGAGAATTCAGGTGCTTAGCCTTGACCCTACTGAGAGATTTCCAAGTAATGTTCAGATAAGCTCTGACTGCATTGTTTGTTTTCTAATGCATAATAAGATTTCATTGTTACTTACATCTTTAGATTAAGGGCTATAATCTGTTGATCCCTAAAATGTCATCAGATAATCTGTTTAATCATAAGCAAAAGCTGATCTTGATAGTCTGTATGAGTTATGCAAATTAATTCAGGCACACTAGTACCATGCAAGTATAGAAGCTTTAAGCAGAGTTCTCTTTCTCATTAGTCCACAATTAAAAGTAAGATTTTGTTAGAGTTTCAATTCACATATCTCTGTCCTGAGGCATAATTGAAATCTCTTAGGGAGTCTGACGTGAAATTTTGGCATAGTAAAATGTCTTAATTTTGAAGCAAGTGTCTAAAATATTTATGTTGCAAGGCACTCGATAGTGGCTTCATGATTAATTTTAAATTATTGATAGCACAGTTATCTAGAAGGGCCCAAATACTAGTGTCACAACGCTCTCCAGCGTTCACTACCCATAAAGTTGAGTGACAAAATTCCAGCGATGTTCTCCATCTGTTGTTTATCGGGAAGGTGGCCACTGAATCCCGAGAGTTCCAGCTCTCACCAGCAGAGAGCGCAGCTGACCTGGCTTAACCTCTGGGACACAAAGCAGCAGGATTTAGAGAGATTCCCTCATAGAATGTTTTTAGGGAAAAAAATAACCCTGTGTATCCCGTGTAGAATGAACTAGTATGTCAACTAGTAATAGTGCCTCTGGGCTTAACTGCTGTGTATTACTTGGCTTGTAAGAGCTTTGCTTGCTACACATGATAGCCCATCATTAGCAGTTCACTTGTCCTGCTTGGTTCTCAAATTATGTTATTTGAAGCTACGGGACTGATTTGAGTTTATAAAGACATTGACGTACCCCTGTGGCTGTCACATGCCACATGATATTTGCATCTTTGCATCATCTTTGCATCATCTTTGCAACAACTAAACCCCAATGAATTTAGGAAGAGTCTTGTATTCAGAGATTGGCCCTTCTTGACAACTAATTGAATTCTCATGTGGTTTCCACAGAGGTGAGAGTGACCATGTACATCTCCATTGCATTATTTTACCTGCAGGTGAGGGTAGAGGGAGCCACCTCTACCTCTCCGCTTTCTCATAGAATTTCATATTCAGAAGGTATACTCTGAGCCAAACTGCATTTCCAGAAAAAGTATGTACAGCTTGATCCTTTGTAATTTTTTCTGAGTCATCATCCCTATAGGAGCAAGCGTCTGTACTTGGATAAAGCCTTTAAGGAACTGAGCTGGAGGCACTACTGACTGAGCAAAGAAAATGAAGTCTGCAGTAGACCCAGTGTCATGCAGGAATATTTCTGTTGCTCATCCCTGTTCTTTTGCCTCAGGCTGATTTGGACTAGTTTGACACTAAGTCCTCATGTTGTGCAATGCTGAAGTAAGCAGACCTGTGTTTGTAATATGCCTAATATAATGGAACCTGTTCCTGATTAGATCTTGGAGTAGTGCTGTAATATGCTGTACTTGATTCCTGCCTGGCAGCTCATGTGCCAAGCGAAGTATTTCTAGGGATTTAGTTTCTCTGGTTTTATGTTCAGGAGCTGTTACCCCCAGTGTCTGGGTCTCCCAGGAATTCCCAGGTGCTGTATATTGAGCTGTGATTAGTACCCGGAGTGCCTGACTGTTGCATCAGACACTGCAGTCTGCAGCAGTCTGCATTTCCTGCTTCCTCTTCGGCAGCAGAGACCCAGTTGTGATACTGGCATTGCATGTACAGCATAAGTCAAAATTCTATGTTCAGATGTAGAAATCTTGGACTGACATTAATCGGTCTGCATGAGCTGTTGCAAAACAACTCGTCCCAGAGCCCGATCCCGGCCCACAGAGGGCAGCCCAACGCCGTGTTTTACTCCAGTGATGTGCTCAGCTTGGGAATTCAGTCATCTGCTGGCATCTCTATCAGCATGACTTGCTGGGGAATAAACAACTGAATGTTGTGGAGAATTAGCATCAGCCCTAAGCTGAAACAGATTCAAATGTGGACTTAAAATTGCATGGCTAAATTAAACCACCTGCTACTATTTTTTTAAAATCATACCGAAAGAAAAATATTACATAAGAAAGCTCAGTTTTGAATATCTTGCATGTACAACAGATAAATTTATTGGTTAAAAGGCAAGAGAGGGAAAATACCCAGAATTTGTGTACCTGCATGTACTGGGCAAGACTAATAGAAGAAAAGTGCTTTTCGCTTTTTCCAAATCTCTTCAGGAATCTTTCAGGATTCAAGTTATTGTTACCAGTTACTGTTACTGTTACAGTCATAAGACTGCTCCTTTGGCTGGTTGGCCCATGTTCTTTCCCAAGTGTGTCCTAAGTCCTTGTGAAACAGCCAGCACAATTTCCAGGAGATTTTGTGTAAGAGATTGTGTTTACATGCAGACATGTGCCTGAGCTATAAAACTTATCAGTGCAGGTGGGGTGCCAGGGCTTGGTATCTTGACTTATGAAAAGGAACAAGGCATACGGCTCCTGAAAAAGAGCCAGTACTTTGTGTCTCTCAAATCAAATTGCATCTACCAGCTAATTAAGGAATGATCTTGAAATGCTCTGAAGGGAAGCCTGTCCAGTTCTGTATTTCTCAGCCAGAGGGCCCTGCAACACAGTATTCAGAATAGAAAATATGTATAAAGAAAATAGCATTGAGAAATTAAGACAGCCTCAGCAATGTGTGAATTCCAGGAGTACAGGGAGAAACATAAGTATCTCTTATGATCAGAAACCAAATTACACACTGATGAACTTTCACAACTATTTAGATAATTAATTTTTTTGACCCCAGACTTGTAACCCCACACAAGCCTGGCTGTTCACAGCAGAATGTAGTTTATACTCTTCTCAGAGTTTGGCTCATTGTAATTACAACTGCAGGTGAATTTTCGCTTCTCATTCCTAAAACTTTTCCCATGTGTAGGAGTGCTGAGAGATTTTGGCTCTAGTTTATTCAGAATATTCTTTGCTATTCTTGCAATGCTGTTCATTAAGATCTTTGCTAAGGTGAACTTTGACCAAGCTAGTGCCTGCCACATTTTACGTGGTGTAAAAGTTACTCTGTGTAAAAACACTTGCACATTTAACCAATTTTGCCACAGCAAAATTCTTTAGGGTAAACAGTAAAGTAGGGCACACAGTGAATTAATGCCCTTACTTGATGCAGATCTAAAAACTATAATGTATAATTACCAACAAAGGCAGTTTATGGGATTGTCTCTAAATCTTCTGAGGCAACCACTGATGCAGTTACTCCATTGTAGAAGGTTGGTCAGGCAGGACCCGCCCTTGGTGAAGCCCTGCTGCCTGTCTCCAATCACCTCCCTGTTCTCCATGTGCCTTACCATAGCTGCTAGGACGATCTGTTCCATGGTCTTCCCGGGCATAGAGGTGAGGCTGATGGATCAGTAGTTCCCAGAGTCCTACTTTCCACCCTTTTTAAAAATAGGAGCAATGTTTTCCTTTTTCCAGTCACCAGGGACTTCACTTGAGTTTTCAAATATCATGGAGAGTGGCTTGGGAACTGCACCAGGCAATTCCCTCAGGATTCTGAGATGCATCTCATCCAAGTCCCATAGACTTCTATTCACAGCTCTTAATTGCAGTACATGTTTCATATGTGAACCTGTGAGAACCTGATTCAAAACCTGATTAAGTTTCTGACTCTGAACTCTTTCTTGGGATCTTCCTGATAAGGATACACACATAGAGGTGATGCTGAACTTCTTCAGCAGTAAGCTGCCCAATGATGATCTTTCCAGACTTGACTCTCAGAAATGAATTGTCATTTTGGCCTTTCTGTCCTAATTTCCCACAGGCACAGTAGTCATTTTGATGGAAAAGCAATCTAGAGTAGAT